TGACATCGTTTTTCTTTTCTGGCAGAACATCTCTCTGTGTGCCCCATTGCCAGAATTCAGGTGGCTGGTCTTGTCATACAGGACGGCTGTATAGGCTTCAAGCATTTTTAAGTGCTAAGCTTCAACATTTCACTCGGGTTTATAGATACTCCACCATGAAGTTGAAAGCCTGCCCTGCTGACATTTTCCCCTTTCCAAAAAAGGAAGACACCGTATAACAGCCTGTGAATCTGTGGAAGATAGGTGAGGTCCTGGGGATTTGTCTTCTCCTAGAGCCTGGGCGATGGCATTGACGTGAAAGTAGCTGAATTTTCCGCTGTGTCAAAAGCTACTCATATGTCTGCTGTTGGGCATATTTTGCATAGGTGGCGGAACTTCCCAATCAAGATGACAATCTTCGGCACTGCTACTGTGGTTTCCTTGAGGGAAACAGCTGGCACTGTAGTAAAACTATCAGGAAATGAATGGCACTTCTTTGTGTCTGCAGAAGGAAGTCTAATTGCCTCTCGGCAATGTTACATGTCCCACTTGGTTGGAGAATGAAACAAGCTAAGACCTGTGTCATGGAATTCGCCTTTAGCCGTATTGCTTGAAGGGTTGTGATCCAGGTTGTTCAAGGCACCAACAGTGAAGCGACCATGACATAGCTGAGGAGGGCACACAACGCCTTCTTTCTCAGCATAGAGACAGACTGCAATTGCCAACCGATTTACATGCTGCAAAATTCGGTCATAGCTGACACTGAGACCCAAATCATTAGAGTTGTGTAATCAGCTTCTTTGATCGCGTAAGTGTATGAACATTCAGTCCAATATACAGAGATAGTGGTGGTTCATAGTCTACTGAGTTTAAATTACCGAAAGAACCAAGAATATATAGTCTACTGAGTGTCGAGAATTGGCAACAGTTGAGAGCCTTTTCTTTCAATTTAAGACAATGGTCTGGGAGATATTAAAACATTTTTGTGAGTCCCTTGAATCTTGTAGCTTTAGATCAGCTCCATTCAGCATAGAAACGAGCATCTTCAGAGTAGTCGGCACAGAGTGTTGTTGACAATCAGGAGGAAATGAGGCATCAAAATGAAACCTATCTGACTTGAAGATATCTTCACGTACTATTTTATCAGCTTTCGCAAGAACACCAGCATCTCCCTCGTAGTCACACTTTAAGGCTTGTTTCAACATTTGCTGCATTCCCTGTTGGAATAAAAGAACCGCATTCTTTCCATCACATTGCTCTTGGGCTTGAGGGAGTATCCAAGGACCTGCAGCTTGAAGCGAACCTTGTTTAATTCCTTCTTGAAACCGAGGTCCTGAAGACCTTTTTCACAATGCTTACGCAGTTCAAAACATCGGAAGTAAAAGGATCGATCTTCAACTGAGTTTTCTATAGAAGTGATCAGCTCTATGAATGGTCTTGTCTAGATCTTCTTCTCCTCGGTTTGGCCTTCACAGGATCCCTGACTTTTTCTCGTTTGTGAGCGGTGACGATTTCTGAGTCCAGCCAAGTAAGGTGGCATTTTGCTTCAAATCCGACAAGGTCCCCACCTGCAGTCCTTGCCAATGATACAGTGTCCTGCAGGTCATTTGCCATGCGTCTTACATTCTCATCTGCATATGGTGTCCTAAACTCATGAAGATGGCCATCCTCCTTTGTGCAGAAATTACAGATGTTCTTTGCCAGAGTGGCGATCTCTGCGTCACTTCTCCTCGACAGCAGCAGCAGACGTCTCCACATCATCCAGTTCTTTCTTTCTCTCTGTTCTTTCCAGTTTGTTCTTGCAACATTTTCCATGGCAAGATTTGTGCCACGGAGCCTGGTGTTCAATAAAATCTTCAGCGGTAATGTTTACCTCAAAGCATAAGTGTCACCGGTAGCCGTTTTCATGCTATAAACTTTTCAGAAAATATCTGTATGATTCAGATTTATCTCCACATTCTGGAGCATTTAATGGACACCTCAGCCTTTCAATAGTAGCCTGCTGACCTATCACGCATGTTGTCCAATCCATTCTGTATCTTCAGTCAACATCTGAACATGTACAAAGTACAATGTTAGGTATTTCAGTTATTTTATAGATATAAAATCATTTTTGCAATTGTTTTGCTTACATATGTGGCCATGACCATTGTGTGGTAATATTTGCAACGCTCTGCGAATGTTGTTTCCTTTCATCAGTTTTATGTTAATGGTTTTGACCAAAACACGTGTTTTTGAGATTTTTCCCAGTGCGGAATGAACAAAAATTCCATCTTGGCTCGTAAAAAACTGTTCCAATGACTTGTTTTCGTGGATCCTAGCAACAATGTTAAGTATGTCCGATGAAGATCATCGGACATCAAAATCTGGCCCAAAGCTCCCTATTAGTAGGCCCCCTGACAATACACGAAAGTGAAAACACCTCCATCATCATCGTGCTGTCAAACCCCCAATGGTTTCAAATGTGTGGTGATGTCTTTTCGGCTAAAGCGCCCACCCATCACCCCCTCTGAATATAAGTGAAGAACCCTGCTGCATACCCTACCCGCCTTTGTTTTTCTCTCGGAGGACGGCTCCTTGAATTTCAACCGCTCGTTCTCGGCCTACCGAGAGGGCTTCGGAACAGTCGACGGCTCGGGCCACGGGGAGCTGTGGCTCGGTCTGGAGGCCATGTACCTGCTCGCCTACGAGGACTCCACCATGCGGGTGGAGCTGCAGGGCTGGGACGGCGCTGGCGCCCACGCCGAGTACACGGTCACCCTCCGGGACGACAGCAAGGGCTACGCGCTCCAGGTGCGAAAGATCAGGCCGTGTGCCACCTCATGTCCCTGTGTTCCCCCACCACCACCCGAGTTCACTCTCCTCCTTAGCGGTGGTGTAGCAGTTATTATGCTGCCCCCCCTCCCACCATCTACTAGGAGCCAGGTCTAATTTAGAGACTGCATTGAGTGTTGTTGAAACGAAAGAGGCCAGTGCACAGGGGGATACCAACATTGGTGTGCGATTCCATCCGAAATTCTGCCACAGGTGCCACGTCACGAGGAGAGAGGATCCGTTCGGATCGCTCGCAGAACATCACGGAGCTAGCGCTGTGATCCCTTCCTACATTGACCTCTTGTCCGCACAGCAAGGGGGCAGCAACACCCCCCGTACCGCCCCCGTCCTCCCCCCGCTGAACTGGCCACGGCCGCCCCGCGCTCGCTGTCGCGCAGGTCTCGGACTACCGTGGCACGGCGGGGAACGCGCTCGTCTCCGGGGTGGCCGACGACCCCGAGCTGACCTCCCACGGAGGGATGACGTTCAGCACCTTCGACCGCGACACCGACAAGTGGAGCGACGGCTCGTGCGCCGAGTGGTACGGCGGCGGCTGGTGGTACAACGCGTGCCAAGCCGCCAACCTCAACGGCGTGTACTACCAGGGGGGGCCGTACGACCCCCGCGAGAAGCCCCCCTACGAGGTGGAGAACGGTGTGGTGTGGGCCACGTACCGCGGATCCGACTACTCGCTCAAGCGCACCGCCGTGCGCTTCCGACGCGTCCAGATACCCATCGTTGAGTGACGGCGCTGGCGGAAGAGGTTTTTTTCATTAAAGAGGCCACGAGGCCGGGTAAGCGAGCTGTAAGTTGTAGTCGATCGTTGTAATCAAGGCCGGTAAAGCGAGTTGTAAGTTGGAATCGATAGCAAGAACCGTTTCATTGTTTTTACAAAGTAGTATTACTCATGGGTTACAGCAAAAGTGATTATGGATGGGAGAAAGGACTGCATACCTGTCAACCCCTTATCAGTGCCTACCTGATTACAGACCAATTCAGACCTTATTGGTCACCCCGTGCCCCTTACAAATCTCAATGTTCATCCTACAAAGTCCCATTACAAGGGAGAAACACAAACGAATACAAATGTTTGCCCGTATTGAAACGGCTGTACGCCGTATGGACCTGAAAACACAATTTCTCTGTACAAGAATACAGGTAAACCGTATGGGTTGACAGGTATGGGGTTGTCACGCTGTAGGCGTAATGATATCGTTTGTGTTGACTTTCGTGTTTTGTCGCAATATGAATTGCCAGAGCAGATACGTTGAAAGATTTGCGGTAATGATGTAGATGGAAATTGTATAGTGTAAACATTCCTCACTAATTGCCCAATTGAATAATAAACTTACCACTGAAACATGTGCCTCTCTCTCTGTGCTTTTCCAAAGCCATTGCAAATGCTGCGTTTCATTCATTACGCATTTATAGTCGATTGTACTGGATGTACTGTATGTTCATTAAAGTGCTGCATTGGAGTTGTATGAAAGCACACTACGAACCTGGCCGCACGAGTTCGATTCCCGGTTACAGCTCCCTCGCTACGCCACAACTGTGGGCCACGTAGTTGGGTTACCCCAAAAACTTGGCCCACTGTGCTCAAAACATTCGACTTCATATTTAAAAAAATACATTGATGACCACGCATGTAGTTTGTGTTATGCCGAGGATGAAATCTGCATGGTTGGCAGAGGTGCGCAGTGTGTGTTCGTGCGTTCATCATTGAGAGTTCACCCGACCACGCTCGTGAGAACGCATCTCACTGAACGCCACCCTCTGTGTGGATGGCACAAGGTTCGTGTCCGCTGCTCGCCTCATCACGGACATCCTTGGGAGTGCTGTGCCCTCCAGGCCATTATTGGTCTTGTAACAACAAAAACTCCTGCACATTGCCTGCGTGAAATCCCTTTCCATGTAAAAAAAAAGCCACCGACCCCAAAGACAGGGCCTTCGTTTTGATTTAAAGCTTTCGTGACTGCAGTGATTCGGTAAAGTCACGTTGAAGGGAAACAATATATATCATTATTTTATTGTTTCCCTTCAACGTGACTTTACCGAAAGAACCAAGAATATATAGGGCTTTCGTTATTGAAGAATTAACATTCACAACCACTACCGACCATAAGATAAAAGGTTACAGATTTTGTTATATTTTCATCTGCTTGGTAATAGAGCACCTACATAAAATATTACAAACGAACACGACATTTTATGTATCAATGCACTGTTTAATCAACCTAATATTGTACATGAGTGTAAATTACACAGTAACGAGCTTCACAGACAGCAAGGTTATAAGACTACACATTGTACATTTTATTAACTGGCAAAATATAGGTGGGAATTTAGTGTTACAAAAAGGTTTTTACCATTAGTGTGTTAATGCCAAGCGACATTTCCTTAAAACTCCTAAAATCCCTTCAAACCAATCAATATGATCAGTTGTGATGACAAAATGATTATCATACAAAATCTCATTTACAACTCGATCGCGCATCACATGGGAGTCAGCTGCTTAAAACACCTTCGCTACAAATGTGCATGATTAGAAAATGCGAAAATATGTTATCTGTGCAACGATTGAAACACTTCTAAGCACTGATACAGTTAAGACATATAAACATGACCTGCGGATTAAATATTCTTTTGACTGTGCTCTTTTCATTTCGCAAAACGTTTGTTGTTTTTTTGATTGCAGAACCTCCCCAACTCTTGACTTTGTGCCACCGTGACGCAGGCGACGTGCAAAGGGGCCGCGAGTCCCTGCCACAGCGGGGCCATCTCATCGGTGCGCTGCTGGTCGTGTCCGCGGCGCGGAGACAGTCATTCCAGCAGTGCGTCACAAACCGTCCCGACAAACGCCAATCCGACCGCTCGCTTGCTCGCCCGCCCGCCGTCTCCCAGCCACGATGGGGATCGGGGGGGCTCCTCGCGGCCCACGGGGTGAATTGGTGCAGGGTAGTGACGGGGGGGCGTTGGGGGGGGACTAACCTCACCCGCCATCGGCTGAGCGAGCAGCCACAGGAGGCCTGCCCGTGGCTCTCGGGGGGGGGCCTCTCTGAGCGATGCTGGACAGGGAATATTAGTTTTAAAACTTTGCAAAAGTTACCAAAAGCGCCTTATAACAGTGATTACTGCCAAGGACCCTAAAAAGCCAAAATATCGCTCTCCAGAGCGTGGGCGTTTTGTGTAGATTAAAAAGAGGGCAGAGGCTGCCGCTATTGGGTTCCTGGCTTGAAGGGAGCCTGAACGGGCACCGGTGTACGTCTCGATGAATTCGGGAGTCTGCCACGTGGGATTTTCATTCGCGCTCATCAGCTCACATACACGCATCAGAGGCCCACTGGCAGCGACAGGAGCAAGCGACGGAATTATAGCACCACTCACATCACTCGACAGTCTATTACCACCTATTGATGTCACGGAGCTACACGAGTACCATCACCGACAGCAATCGCAACTCCGGTGGGAGCCATCGCGGTGTTCCGTTACGGCACGTGCTGGGCGAGTTTGTTCGCTGCTTTTCAGTTGCCAGTTCATGTATGTATATTCCAAACACGCGATGACAACGTCAACACAACGGCCACCCTGTAACGCACGTTACACTTACACACCAAGGAGCGTTTTGTCACTCACAGCCAAGAAGCTCTACATATGAACGGCGGTGATGTGGACACGGTGGCCCCCTCGTGTGCTCGGGGTGTGCCTGGCTATCGAGACGCCTCCAACGAGACGATGGGTGACCGCTGCGGCCACGCGCACCGCTTACGGTGACACCACAACACGGCGCACAAAATGGCTGTGAGCAACTCTGCACTGTGCACGCAAATAGTTTAGTCTCAAATGTACTTAAGTGAGCCTCTCGCGTACGGTAAATAACAAGACTATATGCTGAAATGGTTGCTTCATTGTACCGACTACACCTGTAGTGTTGTCCTCTTTCCCCCTCTTCCTAATCGCGCTCACGAGCCAAAACACGAGTGTGACCAATGGCCGAGCCTTCAGGCAGGTTTTTTTGATTCCCGTTGTTGAGCACTGCTTCATTTCGGTCGACGGAAGGAGAGATGCTTTATGCTTGATGGAGGTCGGTCGAGAAGGTGGTAGGGCAATGAAGGATGGAAGTTCAATTATATGGAGCAAGCGTCCTTCAACCCTTCAGAAGCCACTAGGCTTCGCAGGAACGCGGCTCCACGAAGCTGTGGTGCCTCGCTCAGGGGGACAGTCACGGAGGGAGGAGGCACGGGGGTTGTGTGCGTGTGTCCCCGAGAGGGCCCCACTCTTCTCCACCCACACGCCTCCGCCGGTGCTTGCATCTCTCCCGAGCTTCAAACGGCTGAAACCTGCTCCTCGTCTGCAACACAAAATGGTTCCTCGTCAGTCAGGCAGCCAAACACGACAATAACAGCAACAAACAATCATATTCTTGGTTCTTTCGGTAAAGTCACGTAGAAGGGAAACAAATTTTCTTGCTGTGGTTTGCACACCTGATGACGATCGTTTGTGTTATGGTCGAAACGTCGTGATAATTTTTAAAATTGTTTTATATATATTTTTATTTTATTGTTTCCCTTCAACGTGACTTTACCGAAAGAACCAAGAATATGAATCCCTGCAGTCACGAAAGCTTTAAATCAAAATTTAACAAATAATCAGTGAGGTAGTGCCCTGGGCTCTGGTCGTCTGCACTGCTATGATCCTCCTGTGCAAGGTTTGTCTCTTCTCACTCTTCTGCGTGTGAATCTCTCATTTAAGCATCTTGGACTGTACCTGCACTACTCTCGACTCATCTCCTTCTCTGCTCTGCAGCTTCCTATATACGCCTCATTTCCTTCTAAGGAAATTAAAATACTCACAAATCCCTCCTGTTCGAATGATCAACATACTTCCAGTGCCTTGAGCTGAGATCACATTCAGACAATTCACATATACAAATTGTACTGCACTATATTTAACACATTCCTGCGAAGGGAGCTGGTAGGAACGTTGGGTTGCTCGGTCAATGGCCAGGGTCAACGGCGGCACCACCACGTGGTGTACTACGCAAATATGCTCGACTGTGAGGGCGGGCACAAGCCGGCGTGAGTAGGTTAAACGTTGGGTTTTATAAGGGCACCACGGGGTGACCAGCCCCTCCCCATCCAGCCCCACCCCACCCAGCCCCTCCCTCTCCACCCAGCCCCTCCCCACCCTCCCCTCCCCACCCAGCCCCTCCCTCCCCACCCAGACCCTCCCCACCCTCCCCTCTCCACCCAGCCCCACCCCTCCCATTTTTGGATGCACGACGGACGGACACAATAATCCCCTGAGGGCTGGTGTAACCAGGAGGTTCCTACCAGTAAAAAATATCCGCAATGCTGGAGTTTCAGGTTTGATCATTGGCATGTGATCTGGCCAACTCCAGGCAGTAAAAAGTGAACACCTGTTGCCCACTAGTCAAGGGTGAAGGGTCACCGCTGCAGTGATCAAACTCAGATCTTCAAAAACTGATGCAGTATAACACTTGGCAAACGTTCTGCAAAATATAGCTAAAGGACTTCGCGAGTACTCAAAATATCTTCTCCGTCAATGGTGATATTTAACCACATTGGGTTTTACGTAATTTACTCGGCATGTAATGATTCATTCCCGACATTTCAATGAGTTCACACGATTATTGGTCACACTGTGATTCAAAATCGATTTTTGCCTCGTTCAAATGGACTAGCAATGTCCGTCTCGTTATTTATTGCCATGTGACGAATCTCACTGTCCCAGCATCAATATGCGAGTGGGAAGTGCTGCTCTCTACTGTGCGTGGTCCAGAGGTCAACTTGAAGATGGCACCCGCAAAGGTAGCTCTGTGAAATCCTCTCCCGCGGGCTGTTCTCTAGCAAGGAGGCTCACGCATCGCTCTGCTCGTGATCCCAAGGGATACTACGTCTCGTGACGCCGATTGCACATTTTTTTTTGCGGGGGGGGGAGGAAATCCAAATAGAGAAGAAATGTTTTGCAATAAGACACCCACAGCATTGGGTCCAGAGCTGACTGCCTCTTACCGTCGGGTTCATCGTCCTGGCAGTAGCGCGCAGGGTAGAGGAGCGGGGAGGGGTAAGGGGTGGTGTGGGAGACCGCCGGGGCAGCGCGGCGCGGCCCGGCGGGCCCCGGGGGCAGCACCTGCACGCCGCGCTGGCGCCCCCCGGTGGGCGTGGCGCACCCCTGCCGATGGGCTGGGGGCATGGCGGGGGGCAAGCCGGGGGGGTGACTCTCCCGGGCCTGCCTCTGGGGCAGCGTGGGAGCGGCACCGGGCTGGGGGCGGTGGTACGGGTGGTGGTGGTGGGTAGGGGATCCGAAGTCCGGCGCGACGCCGGCCGCTGTGGAGGAGGAGGAGGAGGCGGGAGATGGACCGTGCCGAGACGGGGGGAGGGCGGGCGGCGGCTGACCTGCCGGCGGCGGGAGCGGCTGGTACGACAGCGGTCGCGCCGTCACCGACGTGTGCTGCCCGTGCACGGGGGAGGCGCGCTGGGGGCTGGACAGCGCCGACGCGCGGCCGGACGTGAGCAGGGGGTGCTCGGGGGGCAGGGTGCTGCGCGGGCGTTGCCCCAGCGGGGAGTCGGCGCTACAGTTGACGAGGCGCGAGCGCTGCACGGCCACGCTGTAGTCCGGGGGCCGGCGCTCGCCCTGCGAGGCCACGTAGCCCGGGGGCGCCGGCGGCGGCACCCTCTTGCGCGCGTCTCCCGCACCTGGACGCGCCGAAGCACGCGGCACAACCGGTGAGCACCACGCGGACCGCCACAAGGCAAACGCGCGCAAGGTGGGTGATCGGATGAGAAGAATGCGAGCGCTGTCCGACATTTACACGTTGGTTGATACCGGACCGAGCCAATTATAATCTTGTACGGAGCCTTTTTCACCCACATATTAGATTGCTTACAGCAAAACGGTTTTATTAGTCCATTGGCCTGTGGACCTTCAGCACAGGGAGAGACGCTCACGCCTCGTAACATTTTATCCGGAATCCTCCTCCGTGACAGAGCATTATAAAAGCAATACTGATTCATGATTGATATTTTGGTTAGATTGCGTGAATAACATGCCGATGTGTGTCATATAACCTCCGCCACCTGACACAACCAAACAAAAAAAGTTGTCAGGTGATCAAATGCACCGATTTTTATTGCCTCACCATCGGTGTGATGTGGGAGAGCGATGCACACCGCTCAACGATCGGGAACGGACGTTTCTCTGGTAGCTGCAAGCAGCAAATCTCCTCCACTCTTAATTTATTTTAAAAAAAATGCTGTCCTTTCACTCACGCGATCTGACCCAATTATCAATGAAGCCTACGTGTTCGATAAAGTCGAGCAGCTGACGTGAGCGCCCACTGACCGGCACCGCGGGGCTGTGCGGCTCCCTCGGGCGCAGGGGGGGCGGCCGGCGAGGCGTCGCGGGCGCCGCTCGAGTCCACCGACTTGCTGCGCACGACCGGCGAGGAGCGACACGCCCCGTTCCCGTCCCTGGGTCCTCGCCTCTCCAGGCTCCCACCTCCCCTCTCTCCCCCGTTAACGTCCGGGGCCCGGTCCGCGACCTCCGCCGCCTGGACGTCTTCGGACGGTGCCCGCCTGTGGTGCGTCGGCATGAGCATGTCGTGGCTGTGTTGCTTGAGCTGCCTGATCTTCAGCACCTGCTCCGCCGCCTTCCCGCCGTAGACCAGCGGCCGTGCGGAGCTCTGCGTGGCCTCCGGGTGCTTTTTGGCTTTCCTCGGGTGTTCCGGGGATGCCGATGCGTCCCGCTCGCCGCACGCGGGCGGTGCGGCGGCCCTCCCCTCCGCCGGCGCCGGGGCGCTCGCGGGCGGCTTGGCGGCGAGGGAGCTGCCCGGGGCCCGGCCGGCGTGCGGGGCCGGCGGCTTGGAGGCCGGCACTTCGGCGTGGAGGTGCGTGACGCGCGAGCCGGGGGGGGACTCGGAGTTCTCGGGGAGGGACCCCGCGTGGTCATCCCACGATTTCTTGCGCTGAACGACCTGAATGTTGTCGTTGGAGCCGCTGGAGCACGACGTCCAGCTGCTGCGTCCGCTGTCCAGCATCGGCGCCACCGACACGCGGTCCGCGCACTCCCTGCACGGCCACCGGATCGTCGTCGGCCACTTTAGTCAACGTTTCAGCTCGGCGCTCGCGGTTTTGCCAGGGGCTCGTTTAGTCACTGCGTTAATTTATTATTACATTCATTTATTTTCTTGCTTTCACATGGATTAGTGCATCAGCCAGCCTCATACACCACATACAGTATGCACAGCACCCTACATGTGCTGTTTCTGGGGGCGAGAACTGACAAAGATGTCAACCTCACTGAGAATGGAAATGCAACCACCACCATCATCACTTGATTCAAGAAATCAGCAAGCATTGGCAACGCACGTAGTGGATCACGCTGGTCAATCAGTGGTGTTGGGATGCGATGCAACACGGTTATAAATAAAAAATATGGAGCATTTAAAAATGGCGGGAGGCCCGTATGGACACATGTCATTTAACGCTTGGGTTGACAGATACGGGAGATGCAATGGGAGCCAGTACGTATCGTGTATGCATTTCAAAATCTCAGCAGCAGCATCACCAGCAGTGGGGGAGAGTGTGAGATACGTACCGTGACGCGGGGTGTCGCAGGCACACGCCCTGCTGGCACTGCGAGCAGAGCGTGTAGCTGTGCAGGCTGGTGCGGTCTGACATCAGGTTCGCCCCCGGGTCTCCGGTCATCTCCGTCTGGGTGGAGTTCATGCAGCCTGAGAGACAAGCACGCGCAGGGGGTCAAACACGTACGGGTGGCGCAAGCACGAATGTTCACACGCACGTACACGCGCGTGATGTGGGAGAGTCTCTGAGAGGGAGGCATAAAACACGGACAAGAGAGACATTACAGCAGCCGCCACGAGAGCATTTGAGCACCTGTGTGTAGGAAACATGAGATTAAAGAAATGCACCATGTTATTTCTCTCCCAGGAGGATCAGTGAAGATGCAAGCAAACACCAGATGTTGAGACAGACCGCAGTGGAGATGGCAACAGTGTTCAGAATCTGAGATGCAAACGCTGCAAACAAACGCGGAGGACGGCACCCGGGAAAACGAGCGGAGTCTGGAAAGAGCCGCTGAAACTAAAGGACAGATGCATTAACGTCAGCGGCAAGCGGTTAGGTTAATTGTCTCGCATTTATTAGTGAGGCTCCAACTCCAGGCAGCAGAGATGTTGGCGGCAGCGAGAGCGTGGACAAGGGCACGGAACCATGCACCAAGCAGCCCCCACAACAGCCCAAGGCAGGAACACCAAACAAGTAGCCCCTGCACCAGCTGGCCACATTTGGGAAAATCGTGGATTGACATGATCCATAACGTGCAATTATTTGCCGTCTTATTTCGCGTGGCCTGAATTCACCAAAGACGTGAAAAGCCAACAACTAATAAAAAAAAGAAAAATATCTGAGATTCCGTTGAACATGATGGCGTAACTATGGTTTGGTGTGGTTTAAAGTACAATGGTTAATGTTCTGGACTGTCCGTTCGCGTTTCTCTGGTTAAAATAGGATCTCAGCAGGGACGCTATCTGACACGTGTACCACTTGGACACAATGCCCCCCCCCACCCCAATATTCTATGTCACTGTTGACCAAGTCATTGAGTGTCACCGTCGTCTTTGGTAATTTAGGAAAATGTACCTCCATTTACAAATCGCCACATTGTTTATTTCTGAGCCGTTGTCAGGTTACACATGTGCAGCCCTGTGCCGAAGTTGGCTATCAGGTACCACACACTCCTCGAGACTGCGCTCTGAGGTGACCGTGTGCGACGCACGAGTGGTGATTCAAGGCCGCAGCAGGCTTGAGGAAAGGGGGGGCGCGTCGAGTGCCCATGATGCTCAAAGAGAGGCTGCCCACGCAGGACGGGCCTAAAAGACGCCCGTGGTGCAAAAAGCAGCACCGAGCCGACAGGCAGCGGTGCTGTGCGCTCGTGGTACAGACCGAAGCTGTTAGCGCGGGCGGCGTTGTTGTTGCGGTTGCTGTTCTCACTGGCCATGGAGGAGCTGGGGCCCATGTCAGAGTGGTGCGAGCCCTGCCTCTTGAGCCGAATGGCCACTGCACCGATGGGGGGGGAGACACGGGCAGCGTTCAAACGGCGGCGCGTAGCACGCCGAGCCAAGCGCGGCGGACGTGGCGAACGCAGCAAGTGCTGCGGTTCGCGACCCACGCAGCGCTGCACGCAGCCCTCGACAGGAACACACGCGGCTCTCGGGGCAGGCACGTGCAGGGCGAGCAGCCCCAAGCCACGAGCCCCTTCCCACACTAGCACCCGAACGGCGGCACATTGTTCCACGCAGAATCAATTTTATTGGCAGTGGCCAACTGAATGGGAATTCGAACATGGCTAAAAAACCCTTTTAAAGTCACTTTTAGACACAGCGGCATAACGACCGAGCAATGCCAAGCCTGTATACAGCGTCAACACGCTCAAGTATAAACATGTTTCATTATTAAAGTCAAGTTATTGTTTATTACTTTATTCTGTACATAGGGGACCTTTAAAATGTTTGCAAAAACGTCGTGGCACAGTTTTTAATTAAGATTCGTATAAAGTATAGTATTCATGTAAAATTGTGTCCGGTGGATTCACGAGTTTCTTTGGACTTGTCAAGATTTTACGATTTAATCACAGTGACATTATTGCGGTGTCACTCCAAGAGTAACGCAAGGATTCCCGTGACATCATTCGCAGGAGTAGGCCAGCGTTATGGCCCAAATTTGGCAAATTTGAAAATTAGCTGCAAATAAGTTAATTATATACAGTACGATGCACTTTTAAATCTGGATTTAAAACTCAATTCTTAAGAACTGATTTTTGTGTTTAGTTTGTTGTCCTTTCCCCCGCACCTCCGATAAGCACGGTTGGCTACATACAGTGCGCAAAATAAGTTCAACATACATACAGTACGTAGCAATCATCACCCCCTACTGCAAAAACTTGGCAGGACCCTTCTGCAAAAAAGTCACAAGACCCAGCGAGGCTTTCCCGGGTAAACAACCGTAAAAATAATAATATTCTAATTTAGGATTTATTGTTTGTTTATGGTTGCTACTGGGAGTTAGAATTGTATTTCGTGTGCCCATGTGGGAAGGAGGAGTGTAAAAATACTTCGTTTTGGCTGGCGCCATGTAGACAAGAGCGAGCGCGTTGCAATTGACAATTAGCACCTCCGCATGGAATCACAGAAAACAAAGCAGCAACGTTCGCAAAGGGAATAACGTCAAACTCTCCGGCCCACTTCTTGCAAAAGGGCCCACAACCTCCATGTCATTCTTAACTCTCGATCTCAGGTAACGCAGCACCACGCGACATCAGGCGCAACATTCACGTGAGCAGCGCCACTGGGTGAGACGACCGAGCAGGCAGTCGCGCACTCGTGAACGGCTCAGGGCATTGGCAAGCGCGGCCTGCACACCGAAGTCTACCGGACACCGCAGCCGGGGGCGGCGGGGGCGGGGGGCGTCACGACATCGACGCCCAACACGTGAAACCGCGCACTCACTCTCGTTCCCATCAAGCAGCACCTACAACACGAAGGTTCGCCGACGTCGCATCAGAAACGCACTCTCAAGAGTGTGGTGTTAAAAATCGAGAGCAGTGCATCGGAAACGAGGCGTTGTACGGAAAAGGGGTCACGGTGGAAAGCAACGCCGCGCAGACATGCCGCGTAAATCGCTGGCAGAAAGCAGTGTAAGGCAAGGGTGCTCAAGGAGCCCGAGAGAAAACTGGAGAGGGATGGAGACGGAGGGTGGCGCGCGAGACATTCAAAGTCCCCTTCGAGAGGAAAGACGCAGCTTGGACAGCGACGTAGAGAGGGGGCCCCCGTCCCGCGTTGGGGACGCACAGTGCCGAGGCGGCGGAGGGTGATGCCGACCTCTGCGGGGCGAGTTGTGCGGCGATGCCGAGGGGTCGGACTGCGAGGAGGTGATGGACAGGGAATCCTCCGACTTGTGCTTGTGCTTGTCCTGGTTCGCCTCCTCCGACAGTGAAAGGATCTTCTGCAGGGACTGATGCGAAGTGATCCCTGCACAGAACGAGAACGTCGAGAATGTGCTACGTCCGCATCGCTGCAACACGCGCGAGCTCGTAACAATAATAACAACGACCTTCGCACATACCGGGCACTCGTTTAAACGCCTCGGGGCAACTCAAAGCGCCTTACACATCGCAACTCATCTAAAACATTCCAAGGGCACCCCCAATGGCAGCTGTCCCCGTGCAGCACAAGGTGTTAAGAAGAGGTGCCAACCTGTTAATCGGCGGTGCACGAGTGTGTGTGGACGTGAGCGTATGATCAAGATGAGTGCGTGACTGTGCAGGAACCGTGTGCGCGTGCGCGCACGTGCCAGTGCGTGTGCGTGCACGTGCCAGTGCGTGTGCGCGTGTCTACCGAAGGGCGGCAGCGAGCTGACGGGCACGGCGCGGCCCGACGGGTGCAGCGTGACGGCCGGCACGGCCTGCTGCTTGGCAGGGGCGGAGCGCGAGCTGCCCGGGGACGACTCGGTCTTCTGTACCTTTTTGTCGGCCGCTCTCGGCACTGCACGGACACGCACAGCAAACACACGCGCTTGGCTGTCAAGGGGCACCGTCGCAACTCGCCGCGTCATACACGGCGCACGGCGACATCACCGAAGACCCGCCCCGTTGATTTCAACTCCGTCGCAACGTTGCAACATTTAGAATTTTAGTATTAAGCCGCCGTTACTTTACTGCTGTGGTAACGCGGTTGCTGCTGCAGGTATTCTGTTGTAGCAACCGTATATGAGAAACTGTTAGAGGTAGGGTGGCAGTTGGCGATATTGAGTCTCAAGTGTTGGGCTCTCACATTGTGTACAATAACGGCAGAGACTAACAGGTGAAACTCGTGTCCTGTATATGTACGTGCAGCAGGTATCCCAGTGGGCTCCGGCTCTGAGAGGTTACGTGTGTGTGTGTGAGATGACGTGTGTGTGTGTGCGGCCAGTAGATAGTCCAACAGGCCATCACCTCATTCCAAATAACAGGAGAGACTTGGGGTGCAAGTACGCTTGTAGCTGTAACAGGGTCTCCCCCAATGGGTCTTCGAAGAGGCCTACATATATGTATGTATGTGCATTCAGTACGTGTATAACCCGTTTTTTTTCTGATTCCACTGTTGGACGAGTTCCTCCCCAAGCCCTAACGGCCTGGATTTTGCTTCACTGCCCTCTCCTGCCCACGACGCACATTACACACCAATCCAAGTACCATCCAGGGTCAACCCTCCCTATGCTCCTGGGGATCTTTCAAGTGCGGGCGAATTCCGGACGATTTGCCCATCGGGGTACGTGCGCAGTTTATATTCCAGTAAGCTCTCAGCTGACGCCAAATTGTACGTAAATGCGAGCGGATGCGACGTAGCGCCGCCGCCGCCGCCGTGCGTGCGTGCGTACGAGCGGCGGCGCTACTCACGGGTGTTGCTCGCGGGCTCGCACTGCAGCGACATGATCTGCAGCTGGTCCTCGTCGCGCTCCACCACGAGGCACGCCAGGTACTGGCGCACGCGCCGCGCCATCTGCGCCTCCTCGTACAGCTTCTTGGCGTTGAGGAAGGAGCTGCGTCGCTGACGCTTCTTGTGGCCGCTGGCCTGCGCGGCCTCCAGCGCCGAGCCGGTGCTGCCCTGGCTCAGCGACCTGCAGGATGGCGCAGGCACGAAACACCGCCGAAGGCCGTCAGATGTCGCACCACCCACAGCATCTCGAGCAGGACCAGTGAATGAATATAAACTTGTTGCGTTTTTACATTTATTTTACAGCATCGTTTGCGAATGCCAACGGTGGTAAATACTGTCAACATATACTTCAGACCCCATAGACCAAGGACAGCAGCAACAGCAGTTAAGCAGCAGCAGCAGCACCACGAACTGTCCGGCTTCATCCCTGTGAGTCTCAGTCCCAAACTCTGGCCTCATGAATCAAGGCCTCGAACACAGCACTGACCATGAATGCACCTGGGAGTCAATGCGACTCAATCGCAGTGGAATAAAAAAGTGGTTTGGGCAGAGCCGCCACTGCTGCCACACCATCCCTAAAGGCAGCGCTTGCTCGCATATTATTTCATCACGTTCAAAGCTATTAAAATTGACATTATAAGAGCTCCGGGAAAAGAGAAGATGGGAGGAGGGGATTCCAAAGTGGAGCAGTGCGAGGGAGGAAGCAGAAAGAGAAGGGTTGTTTCCTGCGGTGTTGGTGGCTTAACACAGTACGGAGCATACAGAGTACGCATAGTCTGTAGTACCGGCGATTCCTTGAATGGCTTGTCTGGTGCCAGCCTAACTTAAATAGGCGCTCACTAATGGCACTTATCCAAACAATTTTCCCAGGTGGAAAAGGGGGTGTGTGTGTTTCTCTCGTCTCGATATAAATACAAACCCCAGTAATAAATGTACATGTGCAACTGACGACAAAACACTGGTGGTGTTTATAGCCATCTTCGGCCAGAGCAGCGCTGCTGAAGTGTACGTGCATCCGACGCGTTCTCGAATGCCCCGCATGACAACGACCCGCTTCACACACTTCACCGCTGCGGTTACAATGCAGCGAGGGGTTAGCGCAACGCACATCTCGTGATGCGACGTGGCTCGGCCGCGTACGCGTGCGGACGCGCAATGGCGTAGGTCTGTGTGTACAGACGCAGGCCTCTAATAAAAATAAGATTCTCATCCAGCGAATCGGCTATTTTGGTACCTTGAGAAGACGAAATCATGCTCTGATATATACGCAAGTTTGTAATAGATGCACACATCATAGTACACTGTCGTCAACTTCCCAGAGCGAGAATCGCTTAACAGTGCTCGGCTGTGGCGACGCCCCCACGCGTCTGCAACGCAGTGTCAGCGTCGCAATTGTGCACCGGAGTCTCGTGCAGGAAACACCGCCGCTCCGAACGCCTGCCAAGCGATGGGGAGGGGGGGATGGGGGAGGGGCAATCCCGGCACCGCCGAGGGGGACTGCCACCCGTTTGGGGGACAGCGACGTCGCTCTGGCCAAAAGTTTCTCCCCTCGCGCCACGTTGGCCGAATGAGAACGCGCGAGGCCCCGCCCGAGGCAAGGGGGTGACGGAACATTCTCTGAGCAGACGGGACTGTGTCCCCAAATGGGATTTCAACGCTTTCCCCCTCTGGCAAAACAACAAAAGAAACCTCTCCAGCAGCGCTAACAATGCCACCAGCCTGGTATGCGTCCAGTAAGCAGGCCTCACCAATCCAACGCAAACCATGGGGTTGGTTAGTGTTCAGAGGCAAACGGCGAGTTAGGACGAGCAAAGGTGGTTAGTGCTGGTGACGTGAAAGGCCGACGACTTACCCCAGCCTCTTCCACTTCCTCTTGCTGTTATTCAGACATGTGTGAAAAGGAGGGCAAAGAGCGCCGCCATAGGGAAGAGATAGAAACACGGCAGTCGCACAAGTTACATTGCACGTTCACGCAGGAGGGAGAGCTTCATGACAGGGACTGGAGTGAGGCCTGCCGGGTTTGAAACCGATGGGATTCACATTCTGCCAAAGACAAGTTTTATTGACGATCCAAATTGTTGCAAAAAAACGCACATTTTACTGATCAATTCTGAGCACGAACGAGGGACTGCAGCATCGCGCCGTGCTGCGTGGCGGCGGTGGCAAATATCTCAAGATTAAGGCGACCCAGACCATCGGTTTCCAACCCTTGGGCTAATGTCCAATAGCGTCAAGTGGTGAAAATAAAGAGCACAAAGCTTCAACGTGAAGACTACGTACAACACAAGAATTAAAACAACAGGAAGCACACGTGAACAAGTGTAACCTGTGTTTAGTAACACACGAAGACGTCGCGCAAAATACTTGGTTAAAAAGTACCCGATGACCAAATATAGCCACGAATTCATCTAAACAACTGTCCGATGTCAAGCATCTGCCTACTATTCCTGGTCTATGGCTGTCCAGCAAACACTGTATTACCGAGGTGAATTTGCCTTTGGGATGCGTGTAGGCTTCAAATCAGCATGCCATTTCACGTTCGTGTGCACGACAATCGGCCATTTAATACGATCCCAGGTGTTTTTAGTGGTATTGAACAATGTTGCCAATTCTGAATACATCCACATGCACCTAACTACAAACACCCACACGGCATTCGTGCACTGTCCAAAACAGGGTTCCCAATCAACAGACAAATGCCAATCCAAAAACCACTCGCACCACCCACGCTGTGAAATGACACCGAACTGACAGAAGAGAAGTCCGACTGAGGTGGTCTCTGCCACTCGGCTGACGTTTCATCTCTCTAACGAGACTCCCATTAGCGTAGGAGACAGGACGCGCTACTGGCCCAGTCAAGTAGCAGCAACGGCAGCACCCCGAGCAGCAGAGGCGACCGCTGGACCCCACCGAGCACCGCGGCGTCTCTCCGGTGGTGCGGTGGCGACCGCCGGCGCCTGCCGCGACGCGCGTGCACGCGTGCGTCCTCACCGGTGACGGAACATGACGGCGGGGTCTTGGTTGGCCGAGGCCAGGCGCCCCACGTGCCGCACTTCCTTGGCGATCATGCGCAGCTTCTCGAAGTTGACCAGGCCCTCGACGCGCGAGTCGTTCCCTACGGAGTCACGCACACGCAAAGCGTGCCGTCAATCGAGCCCTACATGTGCGGCACACCTACGCGTGAGATTGGTTGAAGTTCACGATCGGGATCGTGGTGACGTCGGCATCATGGGAAGAGAATTTCTGTGAACAATTCATTAGCACGAGGAATCACGCACCATAATGAGTGAAAATGATGGATGCGTGGTTGGCAATGCATGGTTACTTCAACGGATAAGCATTTAGGGTTAGGTCTGTCATGGGTTAGGATGGAAATATAGGTAGAGGTTCGGGCGAGGCTCAAGTTCAACATGCCAATTATTATTGTTTCAGCTCACAGCGAGGTTGAAAAACGATTCTCACAACCGGGTTTAGTGATCAGGCACAGCGTCAAGCATCGAAGTTGTTTTTAAAAATCGTTGTTTCCTAACCCAAAAATGAACTGCGACTCACAGGTTAGCCTCATTTGCAAGCACGAGCTGGGCGTGTTAGATTTGCAGCGGGAGAACAATGCAACGGTGCGCGCGCTGGACGCGTACCGTCGTGCAGAAAGGTCAGATCCTTCTTGACAACCGGGAACAGTGGGATGATTGGCGGCTGCAAACTGGGACTGCTCAGGAGGTTGCGGTACTTGGCCATGTTGCGCGAGGGGTCAAACAGGTCCTGCAGGTCGGAGAACAGCTTCTCGTACTTGGATGGCAACTTGTCCCAGGCGCTGCGCAGGCGCATCACCGACGAGTGGCTCAGCCCACTGCGACACAAGACGCCGGACACGACCGCCGCTCAAGCGCACAGCCACCCGCTTGCATCGTCACAACCGCCCGCGAGCTCCACCGTGAACACACGGAGCGGGCTTTCGATTACAAAAACTCACAACATGGGATTGATCGAGGTGCAGCAGCAGCAGCAGCATCACCTGATGATGGCGAACATGGAGTTGAAGTTGCGGCTGTCCCGGCAGTTGAGTGCGATTTTGAGATAATGCTTGATGAGCTTCACTCGCTTGAGCAGGCCCGTCTCGCGCAACACCTCCGACGGCACCCAGAAGGTCTCGCGGTTGAGGGTCTCCTCGAAGGCCTGCAGGTGCTCGCAGGCGGCCGCACCGCCCAGGCGGAACAGGTTGGCCACGTACTCCGTGGGCTCGATGCTGCGGAAGATCTGGAAGTCGCGGATGGAGATCTGCGTGGCCACCTCGAGCGTGCTCAGTTGGAGCAGCGATATCTGGCTCTCCTTGAGCAGCTCCTGGGCGTGCTCGTCGGAGCACAGTGGCTCCGTCTGGGAGTTGTTCTTCAGGTAGTAGCTGCGGGGAGAGGACACGCGCGCCACGTAGCCTTTACGCTCACGGACCTCCGGAGAAACAACAGACACCGGTTGGTGGCACGCACCGATGGACGAGAGCACCGATGGACGTCGAGCACCATCAGAGTTTAGGTCGTTAATTTGCATGCCAGCGGTAGAGCGAGGGGCTCGCTATCGGAAGGTACCGAGTTCAAATCCTTGTTGGGGGGGTGGCTCAGCCCATCATCTCTCTGGGGTAGATAAAATTAGTACCGCGTTGCGGTGATGCCAAGAGTAATTATCCCATAGCTAAACCCTCCCCCGCCATAGGAATGTGGACTTTCAACAGACGGCTCAGGGCTGTAAACCGAAGATGAGCACCACCACACCGCTCACGCAAGCGGGACGTAGCTTTTAACGTTCACGTCCACTGGGTCCGTGCGCCCCTTCTGTGTATGTGTGCGCGCCCCTTGTGTGTGTGTGTGTTAGCCCCTTGTGTGTGTGTCCGTGCGCCCCTTGTGTGTGTGTGCCCCTTGTGTGTGTGTGTGCCCCTTGTATGTGTGTGCGCCCCTTGTGTGTGTGTGTGCCCCTTGTATGTGTGTGCGCCCCTTGTGTGTGTGTGTGCCCCTTGTATGTGTGTGTGCCCCTTGTGTGTGTGTGTGCCCCTTGTGTGTGTGTGTGTGTGCGCGCATGCGGGGGCGGCCGGGAGGGAAACGCACCGTGCGTTCAGCTGGATGCTCTCCGCCAGCTTGTTGAGGTGGTCGGGCAGCCGTCGCTGCTTGATGAAGCCCTCGGGGCTGACGGACACCTCGCACAGCGAGTAGGCCTCGGCCGCCTCGCACACCTGGAACTCGCGCAGGGCTGCCAGCACCACCTCGCGGGCGCTGCTCTCGCGGCTCACCATCACGTAGCGGCTGCTCTGGTCCGCCCGATACACCTTCACCACCTGGTCTGGGATGTCTCGTGGGAGGAGCACACAACAATGCACCTAAGACAAAATATACACCGTGCAGGGGGCTCGTGTGGCGCGCTCGTGTGCGTGTGTGTGCGTGTGTGTGTGGCCTGGTACAGGCGCCGCGGTGATGTCACCGTCACTTAGTGGCGAATGGCAGGTACTGGTATTGGTGGGGAACGGTGGCATGGTGGTTAGCACGCTGCGCTGCTAAACCGGGGATTTACGCTCACGGACAACACCAGTGACGATTATCTGAACAGGTCCTGGGCCTCCCATAGGTCTACTCAGCCTTAAATGAGTACCTGGTGTGGCATGTAAAACATCAGCACTGGGGAGATAAAGGTGGTCGGGCGTGGTGCTGGCCTGGATAGGTGCTCGCTACCAGCAGTTGCCCCAAAAAGTCTCTAAAGGCTATAAAGGGGATCTTTGTCCCGTAGAGCGTGATCACACGGGTGGCCCAGTGCCCGTCACTCAACCTTGCAACTGCTGACAGCCTACACTCACCCAAGGAATTGACATGCACTCAGCTGTGCTGCCAGACAGAGATCAAGCTAGACTGTAAGACTCATGCCCATTATAAGATGAAATGTCTGACCTATATATAAAAACGAATATTTTAAGTGACAGCGCTCCATAAGTTATTGAAAAAGTCCAAATAAAAATGAGATATCGAAAACAACATGTCATGTGTTCTTTTTTACATCGCTAAAAAGACATGGTAGGTGAACATATCAAGGCTTGGGTCAGGGTAGTCTCTCGGAGCATGTAGAGAGACGCATAGAGATATGGCAACAGCTGGGTTGGCGGAGAGTTTACAGAACACAGTGAAGCCATGAACAACAAAGCAAAGAACAAGCGTGGACTCCAATGGGGAACAATAACAAGAAGATCTGAACGTAATTCTGGCAGAGTATCTTCCCAGGGATACACCCTCCCATAATGGTAGTAACAACAACACTCTTGCATACAAGGAGACATTTAAATAAGTAAACAAATACAAAAAAACCCTGATGCTTAAACAGAGCCTCCTGACAAAACATATTCCGATATGACTTTATTTTTTTATCCCTGCATTAATGTAATCATGGATTAATAAGTATTACACACCCAAAACTTTCATTTCAACTCGCAATATCTATTCACGATCAATCACCATTCAGGACGTGGAATAAACCACGTTGAGCGCATAAACAACCACACTTGGGCCCTGTGCCGTGTGGTGACTATTTAGCTCAGAAAGCGCGGAGTCCAGAGGCAGGATTAAGGAGACAGTGGCCTCCAGCTAGAGGGAAGAAGTCTTTAGGCCTCGGGTCCAAGCTTGGCCGCGCGGAGAGACATGAGGGACTTCAGGAGGGCTGCTCAGAAGGTATGTATGCATGTTAAACTTCTTTTGCACCGTGCGTAGCCGACCGTGCCAATCGAAGGTGCAGGCATGTGCACCGCGAGAGAAATAAAACCCAAGAGATCTATCTTTTCTATATTCTTGGTTCTTTCGGTAAAGTAACGTTGAAGGGAAACAATAAAATAATAAAATATATATAAAACAATAAAATTCTCACGACGTTATTATTTTATTGTTTCCCTTCAACGTGACTTTACCGAAAGAACCAAGAATATGAATCACTGCAGTCACGAAAGCTTTAAATCAAAGATCCACCTTTGTATAATTGCCATGAGGAAGGGCCTTCGCGCGAAACGCCACCCATTATGTACTTGTCTTTTAAGGCAGTGTGTTTGATGGATGTTGTTCAGTTTTTTTTGGTTAATTGTGCTTGTGCACCAACTGCCGACGCAGCATCGCCAAATAATTTGTTTACCTTTGTGAAAGGCCCATTCACCGCGTTATCGAATTCAATCACAGTTCACATTAGGAATTTTTAGAACAGTGGTCTACACAAGTCTGGCGGCCAAGGAGGAAGACCTAACAGCAGGTCGCAGCGTGTCGACTGTGTGGCAGCTGCGGGATCTGGTGGAGGGTAGGGAGCGCTGGCGGCGAGGAGTGGTGGCATCAGCGGCTGTAGCCAAGATGACGTCCTGATCTTTAAAAAAAATTGCTTTGTACGGTTATATAATCGTATTAAATTCGACTGCCTGTTCCATAAAATTCTGAACACAAAGACTTCCGTAAAACCTGGCTTTCACAGGATGTGTCGGTGGCTACAGCAATTGCAGAGGAAGGCCTGACGACTCTCAGGGGACGGCAACAGCCAGAACAGAAAGTACTCTGGGGCCACTAGAAAGCGTGAGGCACCAGCTACAAATGCTGAATTTTTCACTGGGAAGATTCTTAACACAGGCACGTAAACAGAGAGTTGACTTGCTCACGTTGTTTAACCCCTCGCAGAACAGACTTCTTATCATTGATTTGATAGACTGGCATAGCTTCTGTAGCTGTGTAAATAAAACCTAACATGATGAAAACTTTAATAATACCAGCCCCGATGGCAAAAGCGCCAGGTTACATGTGAGATATGCTGCACACTAGAGTACACGTGACACATGCTACACGCTAGGGTACACGTGACACATGCTGCACGCTAGGGTACACGTGACACATGCTGCACCCAGGGTACACGTGACACATGCTGCACACTAGGGTACACGTGACACATGCTGCACTATAGGGTACACGTGACACATGCTACACACTAGGGTACACGTGACACATGCTGCACACTAGAGTACACGTGACACATGCTACACACCAGGGTACACGTGACACATGCTACACACTAGAGTACACGTGACACATGCTGCACCCAGGGTACACGTGACACATGCTGCACGCTAGGTTACACGTGACACATGCTGCACGCTAGGGTACACGTGACACATGCTGCACCCAGGGTACACGTGACACATGCTGCACCCAGGGTACACGTGACACATGCTACACACTAGGGTACACGTGACACATGCTGCACCCAGGGTACACGTGACACATGCTGCACTATAGGGTACACGTGACACATGCTGCACTCTAGGGTACACGTGACACATGCTACACACCAGGGTACACGTGACACATGCTGCACACTAGAGTACACGTGACACATGCTACACACTAGAGTACACGTGATACATGCTGCACGCTAGGGTACACGTGACACATGCTACACACTAGGGTACACGTGACACATGCTGCACACTAGGGTACACGTGACACATGCTACACACTAGGGTACGTGACACATGCTACACGCTAGGGTACACGTGACACATGCTGCACACTAGGGTACACGTGACACATGCTGCACACTAGGGTACACGTGACACATGCTGCACACTAGGGTACACGTGACACATGCTGCACACTAGGGTACACGTGACACATGCTGCACACTAGAGTACACGTGACATGCTACACACTAGAGTACACGTGATACATGCTACACACTAGGGTACACGTGACACATGCTACACACTAGAGTACACGTGACACATGCTGCACACTAGGGTACACGTGACACATGCTACACACTAGGGTACACGTGACACATGCTACACACTAGAGTATACGTGACACATGCTGCACACTAGGGTACACGTGACACATGCTACACACTAGGGTACACGTGACACATGCTAAACACTAGAGTACACGTGACACATGCTGCACACTAGGGTACACGTGACACATGCTACACACTAGAGTACACGTGACACATGCTACACACTAGAGTACACGTGACACATGCTGCACACTAGGGTACACGTGACACATGCTGCATGCTAGGGTACACATGATACATGCAGCACGCTAGGGTACACGTGATACATGCAGCACGCTTGGGCACATGTGAATGGATACTCACTGACAGGAATTCCGTCTGGGATTGGCACAGGCCGGTTGGAGTGGGAACGTGGGGTGGCGGAAAGTGGGTATGGAAGGAAGCAGAATGTATTGAGATTCGCACGTGACTTGCACATCAGACTCTCTCTAGATTTACAGCAATGTGGGAGTCTACGTGAACCAAATGGGCAACTAAGCAGAGGCAGACGGGGCCTAAGAAGCAGTTGCCAACAGCAGAGCTCTCCCACACTGCTTCACTCAGTGCGCACAGAGAAAACTGGAACAACAACGTAGAGCAGATGGTGCCTTTCAAGCAGACAACACTTACAAAGCAGTGGTCAAACTGTGATCATTTCCAAACGAACCAAATATTAAATTCCCCTGTAAATATTGCCCACAGTTGAACAGCAGCCCTTGTGAAGACAACGTGAGTGGCAATCAGTGGTGTAGAAGACAGATCTGACTTGGTGGTGGTGCGGTTGTTTTGCAATGCAATTAACTGAATCTGCCACTGATTAAGAACGATTTCGTGGCGCGAAGGAGCGGAGAGACGACAAATACACAGCCGCAACTTCGCGCGCTGCCGACAAAAACATTAGACAACACACCGTGCTTTAACCATAACAAACCAATAAACACCTAACCCATGACATGGGTCCCGAATGCAGACTCGTAAAAATAATATCTTTCCTGTTTTGAGGTTTAACAAATGCGACGCTTCACATGACACGCGTGCAAGGACATTCATGCCCCGACCTTTAAACACGTTTAACGCAACAATTAACGAGGAGACATTTCGATCTCATGGGTCTAATCAGGTCGAGACAGCTGCACATCAACAACAACAGTGGTTTCATGAGCCCTACATGCCAGGTGCTTCTTGCGTGCGACAGGAACCAGAAGCACGCAAGGGTCCTCATAATTAAGGTGCAAGGGTTTTACCGAAAGAGACGCACACATACACGCCAGGCAGCTCTTTGAAAACAAGGCTGCGTGGACATGTTGTGGGCGAGAGGCTTCCTCTCGTGCAACTTCTGGTTTCGTGAACGCAAGGTGTTCTCTGCCTTTCTAACTGTGCACAGCAGCACACACGGCAACGGTCCCCGTTCAAGGGTTCCCCCCCCCCACCTCCAGTGCAGCGCTGCATACAATTTTCTCGGTCATTACATATATAACCCACGACTTGATCGTACATTTTACTGACACTATCAAAGCCCTCCAAGAATACTTCCAGTTAAAAGACTCGTGGGAAAAAAAAAACTGAAATATATGTAGAGTAAGTACAATCTGCATTAGCCGAAATACGAGTAGGAATTGGGAAATGTTTCCCAGTGGTGTATTTTTTTTTACAAACGCGGGCCGTAGATAAGAGAGCCTCGTTACAACCGAGGCTGTTGCTGAAGTGGTAACAAGCGGGGTTTGCAGTGGATCCTTAACAGAGGCCTTATCTGTGATTTGGCTGCAGGGCAGGGGGAATTAACAATTGGCAAGATGCCTCCTGCTGGCCAGGCTCGCAACGAAGCATCGGCCAAATTAGTTCGTTGGCTGGGTAGGCAGCAAACTAAGATTAAACTCGCTCTGCCGTTATATAGGACGTAAAAAAAAGTTATTTCCAGAATTTCTCCCTGCGGCTAGAGGGAGAGTCCGCGTTGAGATCCGATGCGCTCGCGGCCGCAGGGCGGAGCGCTCGCCGCTCGCGCGGGGCGCTGCGCCGCAGGCAGGAGTACCTGGTGCGGTGCCGAGCTCCGCCGTTCCGTGGCACTGCACGAGGTCGGGGTTCGAGGAGGAGAGGCTGGCGGGCGTGGGCAGCGGCGCGGGGCACGGCCGCGGGGCCTTAACGCCCAGCACGATGTCGTCCTGGGTGACCGCCACCTCGCTGTGCCGCAGCATGCCACGGTGGGGGGGGGGGGGAAGGGAGACACCTGACGGTTAGCAGCTTTTCGCGAAGCTCGTGGACACGCGTGCCGGGGGGGAATGGGGGGGGGGGGGGCCCCCCTCTGTGGCCGCCGTGCTGCTGCTGCGCTCCTCAGATGGGAGGTTACCGCGCCGAGCCAGAACCACGCTGCCCAAACGTCGAGCAGCACAAGTGCGCAGAGCCGCTAAGCAAACCCAAACAGGCACGTGTTCTATATAGGCAACACGGGTGCAAAGAAACGTGTGTGTGTCAAACCGGGGCTCAGATATATACATTCCAAGAGCACGTGAATGGAAACGGCCTCATAATTTAGGGCACTAATTTCAATAGAACGAAGTGAAACAAAATTTTTTAAACTAATTTCCAAAACTTTCACTGAAAGCTCATTACCAAGAAAGTGCAAAAATCTGTCATGATATGTGATTTTTAAAGCACAAAAAGCCATTATTTTTTTTAACAGTGGATATCATTATTGGCCAGGTTTGATGGTGCGCTCCATTACCCCGTTAACGCATCAATCTGCCGAATTTTAATTTGGTGCACGTCTGCCGATGAGGCCAACTACAATCGCTTCACTCTCCCGCACTAGTTACGGTGGCACAATATTATATGAATAATACAAGATACTGCACAAGATGATATAAATAAAATGACAAGATACTGCACAAGATGATATAAATGACAAGATGCTGCATCAGATACTATCACAAGCACTGCGATGCCACGAGCCAAGAGAGCCACGTGACTGCCTGTGGCCAGGACACTGAGGAACAACAGCTCCTCGCCATCCAGGGAGACCTGTATACGTGAATTGCGCACACCAAGCCACACCCGCCGAATCATTCAAACGTTAAAGTCATCCGGCCCATCTTCCCCGCCATCGCACCGAGAAGAACGCACGCACGCACGCACGGCCGCGAGTGGAGCCAAGTGGCTGGGCTTCGCACCTGGATGGTTTGGTGGGCAGGAGATTGATCTTGGACTTGGTCATGAGTTTCTTGAGCTTGCTCTTGCCCATGGAGTTGCCCTTCTTGTCCTTGGAGCGCTCGTGGCCGGGCGGCAGCTCGAGCTGCACGGTGAGGTCGGGGATGGAGTAGCGCTTGTCGGCGATGCGAGGCTTGTGCTGCACGCCACTCGTCTGCTCCTCCTCCAGCCGGTGGCAGATCTCCTTGTAACCTGGAGCCGGGGCCGGGTGCCAAGGGAAACCCCATCGGAATGTTTCTTCAAGCCGGACAACACTCCGCGAGAGGCGCGCGCACGCAAACCCGGTGTGTCGATGTGATAAATGACCAAAACAAGAGGAAACCGTCCACTGTGTTTTGCGGGCTGCGTCTTGGACGCCACGCACAGCGGGCCTTCCTTCCTGGGAGCGAGTGTGCGTTGGACTCACTGAGAAGGTTGTTCTTGACGGTGATGGAGAGATGGGTGCTCTTCTTCATGATGTCCATGGCTTGTGACAACAGCACATTGTCAAAGTTCTGACCGTTCACCTCCAGAATCTGGGAGGTGAACAAACCAAGGTGACAACACATTCTCGTCAGTACACCCCCCACATAACGTACATGTCACGTCTATGACCCTTTGCCAAGCGTAACATGGCCATCAGACTCAGCTATGGGCCCAGCGGAAGAGCGAGCGACTCTAAAAGTCAACAGTGGCTGTCCTATGAATAGACTTGCCCCTGCCATAGGAGTGTGGAACTTCCACCAGTGACTCAGCGCTGTAAACAGGAGATGAGCACCAACTCAATGCTAATAGTTCAACGGTAAGGATAGGAGATTTAACAACATCTCTCAGCCTTATCCAGACTACCAGCTCAAAGGAACTGAAGGTGTGGCCAGTGTAGGTCAGATTACCAATTCCCAAGAGGCACATGACAGCAGCAAACATTGATGACCGTACTGGACTGATGAGTCTCAATGAGAATGGAAACCAGCCTACAGCTGTGTCTGCTTCCCTGCTGCCTGTTGTCGGGACAGCCACATTTTTGGTCAGTGGTCTAAACGACAAAACGGCCACACAAGTTTAGTTCTTTTGAGCTGGTGGTCTGGATAAAGCTGTTGTACGTGCGACATGTGATGTGAATTCTAATCGTTTCTCCGGCTTGCGTTGACGTTTCTGTCGCGCCGAGTTTCCATCGTAGATTCGACACGAGGACAGTCAGTAGCGGGGCACTGACGATGAGGGGGTGGTGGAAGGGGGCGGGGAAGGCACGACGGGCGCACCTGGTCTCCACGCTTGAGGCCGCTCTCGCTGGCCTTGCTCTGCAGGTCCAGGGAGGAGACGTAGAGTGGGAAGCCGCGGTCCTGCCCGCCGTCGAGCTTGAAGCCCAGCGGGGACTCGCGAGACGCCCGTCGCACCGTCACGTGGCGCACGCGCGCCTTGGCCGCGCACGCGATGTTCAGCAGCCGCAGGTGGCCGTGCATCTTCTGCAGCAGGAGGTCACCCGATCAATCAATCAGTCGTCAATCGATGGACATTTTTGCGTGCCAATATCGCCCCTCGATAAAGTAGGTGTCGGCGCGCATTGCGACGGAAAGGGCACCGCACGGGGGGCACAGAGCATAAACAGAAATGAATCAAAGAACCCATCGCGATCTCGGTGGCTAACAACCGACTGAGAAAAGTAAATTGCAACCGCGCGCAAAATAAAGCGCAACCCCTGCCACAGAACAACCACTTGACTTCTCCACAAAGTAGTACTTATGTTATCGAGCCCGAAGGGATGATGGGCTGAGTTTATTCTCAGGCAGGATTTGAACTTATGACCTTCTGACTGCGAGCCGCTCACTCTACCGCTGAGACACCTGGTCCAGTACCTTATTCATTCGTGACGATTATTTGAATCCTTCATCGTATTAAAGAGGCAGGTAAGAGCTAAGCATTCTCCAACAGTTGCTTTTGAATCGGAAACTTTATTCATGTGCACCCTAGCGTGCGCTGGTGCAAGCCACATGCTCGCGTTGTACCTCTCTCTCCAGGCAGCTCTCAAAGTTCTCCAAGAACTGCATGAGGTCAGGGTCGGACTCGAAGTCGTTGAAGTGGTTGTTCACCCAGAGCAACACCACCCGGGTCACCTGCCCCACACACGCAAGCACGCATGCTCAGCCACATGCTTCCACAGCTATTTCGGTTTCCATTTGCCACGCACACACGCACACACATACGGACATGCGCATCGCAATATGGCAGGGCCGAGCTATGCAGTACCAAACACGCAGCCCACTTCGTTAATTAAAAATAGTGCGCGCTGTCGGTTGACACGCAGTAGACGTGCCCACACCTTGTCTCGTAGGCTGGAGTCGTTGAACCACTGCAGCAGACGCTTGCCGATGTCGAGGCCGTGGGGCTGGAACGTGCGGTAGGTGAGCAGGAAGTCCTCCACATAGGTGGGGTCCACCACCGAGTGCTCCTCCACCAGGTGATTGATGAGTCTCTCGGGGGTGCCCTGCACGGAGTCACGCAGGTCAGGCTCGCTCCGTCACGGAACGGGTCGCACGCACACACAAGTCTGTGGGTGTGCGTGCCGCAGCAAGCACTTCGCAGGGGGACTTTCATTGAACGAGTCGTATTTCGCCGTTGAAACTATGATGCTCGGAAGATCGCATCAACCCAACGATAAAGTAATACTGTTTTTACTTACGTAAGTAAACAACCATGTTGCAGAATAAATCGAAAGCAATGCATAGTCACGGAAGTAATATTAATTAGAAATGAATTTCCAGCGACGAGTAAGTTGGCTCTGACCAATCACTTTAGAAGCCAGGCGAGGATTTTCACGAACCTTGATGACGATGTGGCCCTTGCGCGTGCCGGTGCGGTCGAGCTCGCGGTGTTCCTTCACCATGACGATCTCGCCCTCCTCCTCCACCTTCTGCATATTGCGCTCCACCTTGTTGAGGATGCGGCAGTAATCCTTCTGCGCTATGCACACAAACTGCACGCAGGACACGCACGCAGCAAGCCAGCATGCTATTAATTTCCTCCCAGAACCAACTTTGGAAATTTAATCAGCGAGTGTGAAAACTGCCCTGTGAACAGGGTGTTTAGCCACGAGCCCATTACATTTTGCCCTTTATTTTGAGTCTTCACTAGACGGTGATTTTAAACGAGCCATTAATTTTAGCTCGGTGACTCTGCACACGCTTGCACGCTCGGGAGACAAGAGTTGAATGCTGAATTATTTTTCAGAAATAGATGTGTTGGTGTCATATCAATAACCTGACCACCCCTATGTTTCCATTCCTGAGCCCTTTGTTCAAAGATTCTTCGGCTCTGTTTAAATCATAACACTGGCCGCTAACCATATTCGTAACACATACAAACTTTCTAACAGCATTCCTATTATGCCCAACTACCACTGCACGGCTGAAACATCACGTTGATGGCTTTATCATTGTAAAAAGTGACGTTACAACAGCCACACAGGGTAGTAATGGGCCTCAGTGATGCCAGGAGTGTTCAAGTGTCGGGGACCATGGCTTAAGGTTAAGTTATGGGATAAAAGTATGATAATTCAACAGCTGTATCGGACACTTCTCACACATACAAATAATAACATACCTAAGAATCTACCATGACAATGAAACGATGCAGCATTACTACAGGATATACATACAAAGCAACAACTAAAGTAATAATTTATTTGAAGACATTTTTTTGTTACCAGGTAAGGCCTACCCCGAGCTATACAGCTCTTTTTCAGAAGTAACCTGGCCACAACTGATAGCTCAGCAAAGTGGCTACCCACGTGGACATTTATGGCGTGTTTTAATTGTGGAGGGAAAAAACGGAGGACCCGGAGAAAAATCCACGCGACCACGGGGAGAACACGCAAACTCCAAATATACAGGCGTCAGGCTTGGGATCGAACCCATGCCCTCCTGTATACCAGGCGAGGGAGTTAACATCTCGCCATCGTAGAATGGCACGGCTCCCAGGCCCCGTCCTGCGGCGAAGCCTCCGTGTGGGTGCTTGTCGCGGTGACTCACGAGAGTAAGCGGGCAGGGGCCTCGGCTCCATGACAGTGCCGGGCGCTCTCACCTGGCAGTCGTCCACTTTGGTCTTCATGACGCCGGTCATGAGCTCCTTCTCCATGGAAGGCGACACCCCGAAGCAGTTGCCCATGCACAGCGTCTCGGTGCGCCCATCGGCGCGACTGATCTCCACCGAGCCGTTCAGGATTACGCACCACGAGTCCAGCTGAGGGCCGCGGGGGACAACGAGGGTTGGGTCAGCGGCACGATGGGAGGTCATAGCACGGGTCGAAGAAGCCTTCAAAAATGACTTCACGGGCCCGGTTCCCCTGGCCCAGCCTCTGGTAGCTGGGCTTGAATCATACCAGAGATGTTGCTGTATGTTATGGTGGTGGTGAGGACAATGATGGTGATCGTTAGCCCCGAGGATAACGGGCGGTGGTGGAGGTGGTGGTGATGATGGCCATGCTGATGGTAATGATGATGGTAATGATGACGGTAATGACGATGGCCATGCCGATGGTAATGATGACGCGCGATTCGAAGAGGGCTGCGCCGGTACCTCCTCTCCATCGCGCAGTACCACGGTGCCGGCCTTCTCCACCACGGCAAACACCATGGAGGCGCACAGCTCGCGCCGCACCGACATGGTCATGTTGGCGAACGCCGGGAACTGGTGCATGAACTCGAGCAGCTGCTCTGTGGGGCACAGTGACGCGGTGCCGCGCGCTGCGCGTCAACCTCACGCCGTTCGCTGCGACCACCCCCCCCCCCCCCCTCGGTGCCTCCGAGAGTGACCGCTAACGATGTTCGGTAATACTTTGGCCCTCCTGTCCATCATTTACTGACAGCGCTGTGCTGTGGGATTCCATCCTTTCCCCGACACCTCCGATTATCACGGTTGGCGAGGTGTGGTGCGAAAAAAGTTCTGCATACATATCCAGAATTACTTTTTACGGCTGGCGTTTTCAATAGCATTAACTTTCTCGTATTTAATCGTCCGAAATTGTTAGCCGATGCTCGTTACGACAGCAACAATTGAGTTTCTCCTGCAGTGAGGCCGCGGCGAGGCTGGGGCGGTGAGGCCACGGCGGCTCGTACCGATGTCATCGTCGGTGCGGTCTGCGGGGTCCTTCTCCAGGCAGTCGCGCACCATGTCGCGGCTCGACACCGACATGGACGCCTGGTCCAGGTCCTCCTCGTCGTCCTCGTCCGAGTCCACCACGGTCTCCGTGAGGCCCGTCAGGTCCATGTCGCCCAGCTCGCTCTCCGTCTGCAGCGCAACGCGCAGCCTTCGTGACGGAGCTCGACGTGCACACATGTACACATGCAACAACAACAACAACAGCCGCCATTCACCGCCAAGTGGCGGTGACGTCACCGCGGTGCTTGTGCCAGGCTATGCGCGCTTTAAGGCCACGTGAAGTGTCGAACGACCGCTGGCGTGAAGGTCACGGGACAGACCCAGTTGCCACCTTACTGTGTTTTAAGTGCCCGATGCTCCGCGCGCTGTGCACGTGCACACACCGTACACGTGCACGACCATCACCCAACAACCAACGTTACATATGTAGTAACCGGCGCCTTCCTGTGCCCGAGCTCCTTGCGACTAAAGTAAGAATAATTTGATATCCACCTCGGTAAGAAAAGCAACACCTGGTTGGTGACCAATAGTCTAGCTTTGCCCCTCGTGTAGAGGCAGGCAGCAGGGGTGACCCAAGCAGAGCAAGGCTGGTTAAGCCGTCGCTGCTCAGTGGAGCACGTAGCAAGTGCAGCGGCTCTCCTGCTCATCATCATCAACGCATTCGTGAGCTCCCAAAGTTCTCAAATGAGTATCTAAAAATTCGATCTGGTCATAACATTCACCACATTTAACTTGTGTGCTCATTTATCTTGTAAAGCACTCATCATTAGGACACGCATCTTTAAAAGTAACTTTAAAATACAAACATGAATACATATATTTTTTTAAACTTTGTAAATGGCAAGAACGTTCATTAGACGCCATCGACCTGCAAATCCAGAGTTATCCCCTATGTCTGGAAACCGTGCACAGAGTGGGAGGTTCACATCATCAAACTAAAACCTAAACTTCAACATAAACTATGTTTTATTTTACCAGGTAAGGCCCACTGAGCTATATAGCTCTTTTTCAGAAGCCACCTGGCCACAAATGACAGCTCAACGAAGTGGCTTGTCACGTGGAAACTTATTGAATTCAAATACTCTAAATGTATGTCGATTATAAATGTGGAGGGAAAAAACTGGAGGACCCAGAGAAAAATCCACGCGACCATGGGGAGAGACACGCAAACTCACCTCCCTCTTTTAGGGACCACGTGGACATCACTTACACCCTGGGCAGGCACACTGGAAAACGTGCGTCCACAGCTACTTGTTTTTTTTTTTTAAACTACGACTCATCCGCAGCTTCTGTAAAATCACAAGATCATAGCCAATAGCGCAGGGGTGCGGGGGTTAGTGAGCGGGCAGGAGGGGAGATGGGGGGTTACCTGGAAGATATCTGAGAGGCTGCTGCTCTCCGACTCGCTGGCGATGCTGCAGCCTGACAGGCTGGCCGTCACGGGCCGGTGGAGCCCCTCCCCGGCATGGTGCATTTTGTTCGAATCGGCTGGGAGCTGCAGCACAAAGCAGTACATTAGTGACGAGCACTCACAGAAATGTACCCACTCACACGACCCGCAACGCACCCACTCACACGCCCTACAACGCACCCACTCACACGCCCCGCAACGCACCCACTCACATGCCCCACAACACACCCACTCACATGCCCCACAACACACCCACTCACACGCCCTACAACGCACCCACTCACACGCCCTGCAACGCACCCACTCACACGCCCCGCAACGCACCCACTCACACACCCTACAACGCACCCACTCATATGCCCTGCAACACACCCACTCACACGCCCTGCAACACACCCACTCACGTGCCCTACAACGCACCCACTCACACGCCCCGCAACGCACCCACTCACATACCCTGCAACACACCCACTCACGTGCCCTACAACGCACCCACGCTCACGCCCTGCAACACACCCACTCACGTGCCCTACAACGCACCCACTCACACGCCTCGCAACGCACCCACTCACATGCCCCGCAACGCACCCATTCACATGCCCCGCAACACACCCACTCGCATGCCCCGCAACACACCCACTCGCATGCCCTACAACACACCCACTCACACACCCCACAACGCACCCACTCACATGCCCTGCAATACACCAAATCACATGCGCCACAACGCACCTGACTTGCATGCCCTGCAACACACCCACTCACAAGCCGTACAACGCACCCACTCACGCGCCCCGCAACGCACCCGACTCACATGGCCTGTAACGCACCCACTCACATGGCCTGCAACACACCTAATCACATGCGCCACAACGGACTCACTCACACTAGAGGATCACTGCCCATACAGCGCACGTCATCCCTAGAAATGACCATAAACATCTCAGGCCTTAAGACACAAATTGGCCAGAACGCACCAGATTAATTCACGTATACAAAATGCTGACCCTTTGACAATGCCGCGTTTCTATGTGGACGCATCAAAATATGAAATGAATGAGGAAAATTCACCGTTCAAAAGGATTCTAACAGCCAGCAACTTGGCACATAAAACTGGAAAATTTAAAACAGCGCCGGAGCCGTTTTGTAATTTCTGCACTGGCCGCGTGCATTGGCCAGAACCACAACGCAAACACAGGGGCGGCACATCCTGGAACAACGCACGAGGACGGTGACGCCACGCAAAACAACGTGGTCTCCCCGCATGCGGTGAGCTGCAAGGAAACTTCCCTCTCTCTCATCTCCCTGTGTTCACCAGCTGACCGCAATCTACCCCGATACCGAACGCCCGAGGTTTTAACAACAGTGCGGCAAAAAAGTACTGACCCATACCCACGTGATTTAAAACATGGTAATCTGATCTGTTAATTCAGCGAAGGTGTTACGGAAAAAAAAAGCTGCTTATCCAAAACCAATGCACATGCCAATCTTGTTCAAATGGAAGACATTTACTCCAATAGACTCGCACACAAATACACATTTAAAATAGTTACATTTTGGAAGAAAAAAAAACACCCGAAGGGAGTTCATACACAAACCCAAGGTACATATTTACCCGCTACGCCTCACGATAAACTTAAGAAGGTCCCACTGGTATTCACGACAAAGAGGGGGAGGTGGGGCTTCAGGTTTAATGCTCCCTCTCAGGGTGGCGCACTTGTCGGCAGAGAGCCTGTGCGATATCGTCAGGGGGACATTGTCCACTACTCAACATTACGGTCACTGGGAAGTGAGATTAGGTCAGATGGCAATGCGCTGTCATCAATTTCAAAAGGATAAGAGCAGCCCCCTATGGCCTATAACTGAATTATGAATACGTTCGGTCCACATCCATCACGTTATCGGCGCTACCCATCCCTCCACGACGGGCGACGCCGGAGGCAATCTGATGTTAAAAACAGAAAAGCGAAAACGTGGCTATATTTCAGGCGATAACCCAAATCACCCTCAACTCAATAAAAAGCCACAGCCTCTTCTAAAAGAGCCGAAGACCATTTTTCAGCAACACTCACCCGCCTTCATCGGCCTCAAAGGGCGGCCCCCTCTTCTCTCTCGCCACTCCGCGCTTGAGAGTGAAAATGGATATTACGATTCCACTCGAGCGCGACCAGCAGGACAAACAATGGCAACGGCGCCGCTCGCAGGGGCCGCGCGACGTCTCCGTCGCGCTGCGCGCGACGTCTCCGTCGCGCTGCGCAGCGCGTCAGCAAGTGGGGGGGGGGGGGGGGGGGCATCGCTGCGAGTGCCACTTCCCTGCACTTTCACACGCACCCGGCGATGGGCTCAGCCCAAAGCGGAAAGGAAAGGAGTGGGTGGTTGGGTGGGGGTGGCGCCTTTTCCTTCCCCGTCTCCACAGGTTTATGGACGTGGGATGCTGGTTGGAGGCCGAGAGACTCAGAGTTTCCCGAATCTGTTTGTGGGCGAGGTCTACAGGAAACGTTTCACGTCTCGCTCGCTCGTTCGCTCTGCTTTCCCGTGGCCCCTGCACCCCTCCGCATCCCCCCCTCCCACGCGCCGCTCTCGCGCTGCGCACCGACGCCTGCTGCCTCCTGCCACCTGGTATGCGGGAATTCGTGGGTTCGATTTCGAGTTCGCATGTCTCTCTCCCTCCCCGTGGTCGTGTGTATTTTTCTCCGGGCCCTCCGGTTTTTCCCTCCACATTTAGAATCAACGCGTGTTTAGAGAGTATTTGGCTGCGATAAATTTCCACGTGATAAGCCACTTCGTTAAGTTATCGTTTGTAATAGCCAGGCCACTTCTGTAGAAGAACTATACAGCTCAGTGGGCCTTACCTGGTAAAATAAAAATGATAGTTTTATTATTTTTATATAAACAGCTGAGTTTTCCGAAGGCAGCTCCACCTCACTCATCTACTGCACTGCCACTGCTTCCGACCCCTCCCCCCCCCCCCCTCAATTATCTTTGAGAAACGTGTTGGCGTGAAATAATTTCACGTGCAACTCGTCAGCCCATCGTCACGCACAGCAGGGGTGAATGCAGGCGGTCAGGGATGTGAACCACGAACAAAGGAACGCTTCTTCGTGCCGTCTCTGGGAAATTATTACGCGATTGCACCAATTCACAAAAGTTTTCCATTGGAAAACTAAAAAATATACTGTGAAATCTGCAGCTTCCCTGAAATTGGGATTTACACATATCTGTATAGAAATCATTCACATTCCAAGAAATGTAATATGAAAACCGTGTGCTTGTTAAACATTGAGTTATTCTGTTACCGGAATCCAATGTAACATAAAATTAACTGAATGAGATGCATATACTGACGATAAGCGGACCCGTTAGTCAGACCTATGAAGCCAACGGCCTAGGGGGAAGGCAGTTGTGCGAAGATGCAGACACAAAAATACTCACAAAGGGAAATCACCCCATGGTCCCAAGCTCAACGGGCTGGGCGTGGAGACCAAGAAAAAAGAAACGATGGGCGTGACCCTTGCACCGGCGGGACGAGCAGTTCCGACTGCGCAGCCGCGAGTTCACGGCACGGCTCGGCTGCCAGGAGCTACACCGCCGACGCCCGCGGTGGCCAACTGGCGTCTCCCCGAGCCGCACACGCGGCTCTATCGAAGCAGTATGAACGTCTCCCGTGGTTTGCCGAAAACTTTCAACATATCTACACTTGGCTCTTTGTAGAACTCACGGGTACTTTTTTAGCTCTTGGCCTGTTACAGGTTGGCCACCCCTGGCCTGCACCATCAGTAAACCCGCAGCCCATTCATTTTCCAATTCTCAACGCAAATGTCGCTATCGTCCACACCCTGCCTCTCCCAATGAATCAAGTTCACAAGTAAATTATGAAAGTTTAGGATAGAACCCTTCGAAACAAATTACGCATCGCTGCCTTAGTTTCCCATTTTCGTTCATATCAATGCAGATTGTTCACTAAACTGACAAAAAAACATCAGCTTAAACAGACGTTTCTCTGTGCTGCCGCGTGCACGAGGCACCAGCGTCTCGATGAGACGACCGCTGTGAACTCCCAGGTGGCGATCGTTACACTCGGCCGCATCAGGCACGGCATTTGAACGTAACCTAAACACAAGGGAACAGAGCTCTAATGACCAAATAATCAAAACCATTCATTGTCATTTACAAAGGCAAAACGTTGGAAATTAATGTCTCCAGTAAGCCAAAACCACAATCAACAACTGCTCATTCGCTCAACATAGTTGCTGAGCACAGGCCCAAAGTTACAAGCGACCAGCAACTAACAACACTGTCAGAATTGCAACAGGTAAGAGTTTTCACAGTTGTTTACAACGCACGCAGAGGAGATGACGTGGCTCCGCGAGAAAAGCCAGCGGGATCGTGCTGCGCGACAGTTTTCAAATTTACGATCATCCACTGGCAGAGACCATCGTGTGTCGCTTACCAGGAGCTTCCTACGGCGGCCGAGCGGCATGCGCGCTTTGACTCGGGCTCCCAAGTCCACGAGTCTCCACGGAGCGGGGAGGGCAGCCACGGACATCGGCGGGCGGTGCGTCTCCGCGCGGCTATTAGAGCGCGCGTGTCGGCCGACCGCACACCGCTGGGCAGCAGCGCTCCACCGGCTCCGTGTCCGAACGGGCGCAGCAATCAACACGGCTTTCTCTCAACGAGTGGGAACATATATGGCCTCGGCAAGTTCCTCAATCTAAAATTAATCCCGGGGTTTAATTGCGCGTCGAACCGAGAAGCCGAGTTCCTCTCGGAGCCGTCTAATTTTCAACCGTGGTGTTGGGGAGTGTTTGGGAAATTCTGCCGCGGGGAAGTATACAGTCTCGTTTCAGATTAAAAAAAAAAACCTTTCCTTTTGCCACACGGAGCAAGCGTGGGTTGGCACGTCACGTCCGCTTTTCCACAAACGCCGCAAAAGGAGTCAAGAAAACCACGAAAAGCAGAAGTGATTGGGGTGGTTTGAAAGCCGTGCTGGGCAGCTCCGAGAAATGCGTTAGTTGGACATCAGGAACAACAAACGTGCACCCAGGCAAGCGGGCGAAAGTGAGATCCACGGAGCCCCCATAGCAATTTCACGGGAGGCGCTTTGTGCGAGAAACAAAAACAACATTACGGGCGCACAGCCTCCTACACCACTTCCCAATCACAAACTCAGCACGACTAATTACACTTTTTCAGACCTCAAGTCTCCCCCGTGTTTTTTTGGAAATTCTCACTCAATAATGGCGCAGTCCTCCCACGGTTATGGGATAACACAGTCCGCTAGCGCAAGCAGCCGTCACTGCGACAGGTGCCCAAAGAGGCGCATGCCACGAGCTCTGGGATCACAGGAAGGCACGAGCATTTGGGATATTGTTGCTGCCAGGCAGCCTCCTGCGCAATCCAGTTATTTCACCGTGGGACCAAGGGGAACGCCGGGCAGGGTATTCATTATTCACACAGGTGCGGCGTGCTGTGTGGGGGCTGACGCCTGGACAGGTGAGGTCCACTGCGGATGTGTGGCGAGTTACCACAATACAATGAGCTGGAGCCGCAACAGCAAATAGGATGCGTGCACTATTTACACATGTTACATCAGCCAATGTTGTACTGTCCTCCTCCTTACTCTGAACAAAATAACAGATTTTTAGAAAAATGTTTTTGTCCTTACGTTTATTTTGCCATGTGCCACAATGCTGACACATCATCAGACACTGTAAAAATGTAAAATGTACATTGAATTTATAGAGCCAAGGATCTAATAGAAAAAAATTATAACAAAAAAATGTTGGTCTCAAATTTTTATTTTGCTATTAATTGTAAATATAAGTGCAACCGATTTTAGCCTTATTCGGAGCAAATACATCTGTCATTCTGATGAGCATAACATTTCCAAACTACTTCACAAATTCTCAACCGTAGAAAGACAAAAAACATCCACAGGCTGTGTAGCCATACGTCGCGTGCGATTTTAATGAGACCTGTTTGCTCAAACAGCCGCGTAGTGCGAGGGCGGGTTTGCTTCATCTCCTCTAAAACAGCTCAATCAACGGAGGGCTTTCTCGCAATCGAGTAGCGGGCAGGGTTCACCGCGGCCGAGCCACATCGAGTGCCAGGCCTCGTAGATGCTACGTGTGCAACTTGTGAACTCCAGAACATGAACAGCTGGCTCTACAGGGACAAGAAACAGGCTACACAGAACCAATATCAGAACACAGTCAAAGCACATCACACACCCATCCACGAAATGTAAGTTTAACCCGAAAGTGCAGGAGCTGCAGCTCTGCTGTGATGTCAAAGTTCCTCCCAGCTCCAGCGAACAACGAGGTAAAAATGTCCGGTGGTAGGAATACCACTAACGGGGGCGGGTGCAGGACAACCAGAAAATACAAAACATCTCGTCAACCCTGGGGGAATTAAATAAAAGGTAACAAAAAAGGGTAAAGGTGCAGTCCTGCAATTGCCTGCTCATGACACTGCTGGCAGAAGGGCTTCAACTAGAGGGAGCTCTAGAGAGCCCATCCAGCGGATATTTGGCCTACTCTTCCACACTGACTAGACGTCTCGGAAGAGGTGGCATTACCCAGACTTTTCCCCACTACACTCAATCCGCCGATTGAGTGCAGCGTACCCGTATTTAATAGGGTGGGTGGACAGAGGCACGGTGATTGAATAAACTTGCCGAACGTTTCAACCGCCACGGCGAGGCATGGAACACAACCTCCGTTCGATTGTGAGTCAAGCACTCGAACCTTAGTGATACTAAGTAGAAATAATATAAAGTTGAATCCGCTAAAATATTAACCGAAGATTTCCTTAAAAAAAGAAATGTAATAAAAGCATTTGAGAGGTCAGGTGGGAGGGATGAGCCTACTGGTTGCTGTGGAGCTGTCGAGAATGATCAAGATCAGGTTTAATTTGTTTAGCCATGTGAGAACTCAAAGAAGCAGGACAGGGTTTCGTTTGCAAGAGTGACCTGGGATGAGATGTGGTGCAAGAGAAGAGAAAACCAACAGCAACGGTGAGCTGTGAGCCAATTCGAAACCCAATTCCACAAATGAAGTGGCAAGAGACTTTGTATCATGTGATGATTACATTTCAGAAAGTTAATGTAAATTGTGATGTCACCATCACATTTTCCTTTTGTATTCCCAGCATGTCAAACTAATCCAAGCATTAAGAAATATGGCAGAGTGCCGCACAACCTAGCACCAAGTGAAGTTTCAGGTTTGTGTGTGTGTGTACATATGTAGAACTTTTGTCACACTGTACATAGCCAACCATGCTAATTGGAGGTGCGGAGGAAGGACAACAAACTAAACACAAAATGCAGTTCTAAAGAAATTAAGATTTAAATTTAGATTTAAAAGTAAATAGCTTCAGTGGCTTCCTAATATCGGAAGGAAGAGCATTCCAGACGGCCGCAGAAGAGCATGTGAAAGCGTGCGATGCATCGACCCGTCTTCGTCCGACGGTTTGGATATAGTGCAGTTGAAATGCTCAAGAGCTCAAACGTGGACGCGTGAATCACGGCGACAGACGGAATGGAGTGAAATGACCATAAGTCCCACGCAGCAGACTTTTCAGGGACCACGTCACTGGCCTTTCCAGAGCCACGTCAACTCAGCCTCCACACACTTCCCCAAAGCGACCACGCGCGGCGACCACGCGCGGCGACCACGCGGGGAAAAACACAGCCCCGGCCGACTCATCTGTTTACTCTCTGTGACCTTTTCTATCCTAGCCCACGTGAAAAATTCACAAAATTACGGTAAGGCATGTTTACAAAACTAGTTCCCTGCTGGTTACCTGCAGTAGCTCTTTACGTGCGTGTGTGTATGTATGTATGTACGTTTAACTACTTTTGCACCGTACGTAGCCAACCGTGCTTATCGCGGTTGCGTTTATGTTCCACTGGGGAAGTGCGAACGCAAAAAAATTAGACGATTGCGAAGACTCAACTGCCTCCATTAATCAGCGAAGCAGATCGCTTCGCAGATGCTAAATAGACGAGTGAATGGGTTACAATGGCACCGAGAGCCAGGCGTGGGGAGGCCGCGTGGAGGAGCCGAGCGGAGGGACATGCGTCGCACACACGAGGCCTGGCACATCTACCAGGAAGCGGTGGAAGCAGAGCACACGCTGAATACGAGAGCGGAGCAGTGCAGGCATTGCCTACCTCTCTCGTTAGGCAATGCATACCTCTCGGAAGGCTTCGCAAACGACTTTTAATACAAAACGTTACCTCCAGTCTGTACGCACCGTTATCAAATGATGCTGCACTGAAGAGAGTTCACATTTTTTTTAAATATCTGAATACTGTCCTCAACTATAACGCGATTTGGCTGAGTGAAGTTGTCAATAGGACTTGATTTAAAGGTCACACTGCCCTGTTCTAAAACACCCTAGTCCAACTGCTGGTGTGATACCAAACAACACAACCTTTACTCTTTGGTTCTATTCGGTAAAGTCACGTAAACAAAACAACAAAACCTTTGCTTTGCAGCATTTTAATGAGTACAGCTTTTCTGCAAACCGTACACATGCAGCGGTATGAGCAGGATGTTTTTACAAGCACAATGGTACGTGAATAGCCGTAGCCTTCAGAGCATTTTGGGGAAACCCACAATGCCGAGCACTACAAACCATTCCGCTTGGTCAATATTACGGTCCGAGCACAACAAACCACTGACGCAACTTTTATTTTTGCCACGATTTCTATTCGCTGCGCAATACTTTACTTTTTTGTTTGTTTTGTTTTTGTAATTTTGGTGACCCCAGGGTCACTTTTTCAAACGAGACCCCCGATGCCTGTCTCCTGGGGGCATTCTCAACCGGTGACAAAATCTGCTCCTTCACGCACAACCCTCTTGACAGTCACGTTACTTTATCTATTTCTAAGTTCAAATTTCGCAGTGCGTTACGGGCGCCTGTTGCACAACGTGCGAGGCCATGTGGAACGGGGGAGAGGAGGAACAGGGCGGCAAGGATGCAGTGAGGCCGGGGGAGAAGTCGTGCACACAGTCCGCCTGCTTCGTAACACGTGGGGGGAACCACCGCACCGAGAAACCACAAACACCCCCCCCCCCCCCGAGATTAAAGATTCTCTGAACTGATCAAATACAAAGATCCCCCGTTTAGCTTTTACAGAGTTTTGGGGCAAGTGCCGTTAGCGAGCACCGAAGAAGCCGGCACGGCACACGAGGGGGTGGGTGGCCAGCACCATGGCCGACCGTCTTTGTCTCCCCAGTGGCGCACCAGGGTACTCATTTGCGGTTGGGTCAACCCGGGGGAGGCCTAGGACTGGTTCAGATTATCGTTATTGGTGTTGGTCGTGAAAGGGAATCGAACTCGGGTCGCCGGGTTCGTAGCGCAGCGCGCAAACTGCTACACCACCGCTCCCAAGCCCTAATCACACGACATTGATGATGGCAGCGCACGCGAATACCACTCTCCTCGACCTAAAATGTTACACTTCAGCACCTTGAGCGTCGAACACTTGGTGCTCTTTGGCTGCCGCTGTTTTGTGACGCTGTTTTTTTTTTCTCTCCATCACCCGTTGACAGAACAGCTGCGTTAAAATGGCCTGCATGGAACGGCTCCCAATTGTTTTACCGTTACATCTGTGGCCACGTAAGCTCCATTGGGTTTCACTACGTGCGATTTAAACGAAGGGGGCTGTTTTATTTAATTTCGCATCTGTGTAGGGCAACAGTGCATGAGGCGACTTGCTCCTTGGGTGGAAACCCCGTCTCTGTTATCTTCGGATGTACGCAGCATTTCAATTAGGCTTTTTAAATACGTTTACAAACAGGGCGATGTTTATTTTATTTATCGTTACTACTGTCGTAGTAATTTAATTGTGCCGAGTGCCTCTCGCGAAACGCCACGACACACTCACGCCACGCGGCGTGACTCCGATTGCATCTCGCGCGGCGTTACCACTGCGCTCATTATTCCATTGATGATAGGCATCGCTAATAGCCTCTCTGTTTTTACAATTACACGTTTGTGTTTGCTCATTGTCACTGCGGCCCTCCTGCTCGCGTCCCGCGGGTGTTCCCGCTGTGGCCGCGTGGGGCTTGCGCACGCGATGGGTGCTTGGTACAAACACGTCATGTTTCGCATTAGCAGGGCCAGCAGGAGAAACGCAGTAGTCACACAGATATGTGGTACGCAGTGATTAATTGATTTCACTCCATCCACATCGATATGATGATACAAGTCGCAATTTGTCGTTTTGAGAATGAGTCATTTAAACATTTATGAAAATTACACTCGTGTTATTTTTTAGTCTGATCTTGATTTGAAGCTTTCGTGACTGCAGGAATCCATACTCTTTGGTTCTTTCGGTAAAGCCACGTAGGTAGAAAATAAAATAAATCACGACGTTTCGAACGCAACACAAGCATTCGTCTTCAGGTGAAAATCGCGATAGCTGCGATGTCTGCTGCCTTGGTTGCGTGAACAATAGCGTACGGAAGAGATCCAAATTAGCAAAGAGATTCCTGAATTGAGTTTACATTGTGTTCCATTCACTGTGGGGGGGGGGGGGGGGGTGCAATTCGTTTTTTTGCTGAAGAATGAGAAGAATATTAGAGACGTTTTGTATTTACCACTTTGACTACCAAGGTGATTGCTCCACCGTCAGCAAGCGAAGACAGGCAGGTCTCGGAGTCGTTTAAACATTCACACCACTTGTTTTGACCCACACAGAGGCCTGAAACAAACACATTCTCCTGCGGAGGGAGCTGGTAGGAACGTTGGGTTGCTCGGTCAATGGCCAGGGTCAACGGCGGCACCACCACGTGGTGTACTCCGCAAATATGCCCGACTGTGAGGGCGGGCACAAGCTGGCGTGAGTAGGTTAAACGTTGAGTTTTATAAGGGCACCACGGGGTGGCCAGCCCCTCCCCACCTAGCCCCACCCAGCCCCACCCAGCCCCTCCCCAGCCCCTCCCCACCCCACCCAGCTCCACCCCACTCAGCTCCACCCTTCCCACCCCACCCAGCCCCTCCCCTCCCTTCCCTCTCCACCCAGCCCCACCCCTCCCATTTTTGGATGCACGACGGACGGACACAATAATTCCCTGTGGGCTGGTGTAACCAGGAGGTTCCTACCAGTAAAACACCTCACCCTATAAAGAGGCCATAGAGTTTACGCAGATGAAAGCTGCTTTGGAATAAACACAGGAAATATATTTTTATTTATATTATATATAGTACAGTAGAACCTCTCTTAATTATGCTAATTGGTTCCATGAAACCTGTCGCTAAGTGATTTGGTCGTTAAGCGAGTACAGGAAATACATGTTATAAAGGCTTAATTCGTTCGGAAAGCACCAAAACTTACCCTTTATAATATGCATTAATTCATATTTACTACACCTACAACAGCCCGTCGTTAACAGTGGAATGGCCGGTAAACTATTAGTCGTGAACCGGGGTGGTCGTTAAGAGAGGTCCCCACTCTACACTACGATACCCTACACACTACGATATACTACACTACTACACACTACGATACCCTACACACTACGATATACTACACTACTACACACTACGATACACTACACACAACGATACACTACACTGCTACACACTACGCTACATTACTATACATTACTATACACTACACACTGGGGTTAACCAGGAAGGTCGTTAAGAGGGGTTCTACTCTACTCCAGAATGTTGGCGTTCTTTGGAGGCTACAGAGGGTAATAGCGAGAGCGTCGATGCTGCAGTAGCTCTGAAGACATTGGTAATGTTGCGGGAGCAACGCTCGCTATTTACGTTTGCTTCGGAGGACTTGTAAGAGCGGATAAATCTTGTACGTGAGATACTACACTCCAGAGAGGCAGGAAACCCCGAGAAACAAGGTGCATGAAACATGCGGCCAGATAAGGAAGGTAACAACAGGGGAAAGCAGGCACGGCCAAGGCGTCCAGCAGCGCTGCAGAGCTCAGCGTGTGGGATAGCATTAATAAATTGTTACAAAATAATAAGAAAGGAGGCAATAAGAATTCATCAAATGTCAATAAACACAATTACATAACCAAATAAATTACACGGCACTGATCAATATTCTTACGCGCGTGAATAAACTTGGCGGAGAATGAACGTGTTTACTTACTGACGAGATTGACTTTATTTTGTTTATATTTGGTATTTTTTAAATCTACATGGAACCCACTCATAAATTAGGCGCATAACTGGAACCTAAAAAAAGTCCCCAAAGTGAAATATCGAAAACAAAACACAAACACCACTACTACCTGTTAGTTGTGTGCCTATTCTGTGAGTGG